TTCCCATAAGAATTGTTTAAGTTACATGCTCATAACAGTATTTATAGGCATCGCTCATTTCAAAAAATAGGTTCGCGGTACGGTGAAATACGCGGTATAGCGTGAACCCGATATTATTGTAGTATGTGTTTTCAACGTTTTTCTTTTCACTCTCAGGTGGCGGTAGATCTTCGGTGACCGTGAACAACACCAACAACAATAATGACCATCCTAAGGCGCCGGAGAGGAATTCTGACCCGCTATTCGTGGAGACGTGTAATCGGAAATCAATGGACGTGAAGCGGGCCGCTATCATCGGGAACCCTATGTTCGCGTTCGATCCCTCGGCCGCACCCGGTGACCAGAAGATCCAGAACGCGGGCGGCGGCGACACGATCAAACTCGACGATCTCAACCTCGGCATGGACTACAAACAGCTGATGGAGTATTTCGACAACCTGAAAGAGTCGAACGCTTGATCTTCCGTGACAGCGTCAATGGCGGTGTGATGATCAACATCGTCGTCCCTCACCCACTCCGTTACCGCAGTAACCAGTAACCATCGCGCACACACCCACGCACATTTACTCGCCGTCACTCGTAGCGCACGCGTGATCCCTTATGCCCCTGTCCTCGTCCCCGTCTCCTCCCTCGTCCCCTGTCCTCGTGCACAAGAAGTCAATTAATTCAAATGGTTGTCAAGATATAAATACACTTTGTACGGAACGAACTATCGTTGTAGCCGTGATCTACGGTTGACGTCGGAAAAAAAATCCTACACGTCATTCGATTAGTATTAGTAATAGTTTGCGACGTAGTCGTAGATTTAGTCGTTTTCCATGTACGGTTGTGACGTAAATCCTCATTACGACAAATCGACTGTTTACACTCTAATTTTGGTTGTTTCCGGTTGTTCGATGCACAACGGTAGTACGTCCTTATGATCACGATTGTAGTCGTGCGAACACTTCACGGCGTCTAGTCGATAAACTATTAGCCTCTGATGCAACTATTATTGTAAATGTGTACAACTGTCTTTTTAAAATATATTTATATAATCTGTTTACACGTTTCTAAATCTATCGGCTTAAGATTTATTTCTCAGATATACAATTACTATTCTCTCGAGAAAAAAAAAACTATTACATAATATATATATAATATTATTATTATATAATATTATCTTTTTAAACGAGCTTTATAGTGAGTTTACAACATTAAAAATATCCATTGACTTGTTCCTGATTTTCTAAATTGTTGTTATAAGTATTAGAATCGCAATAATAACTGAATCCAATGCATAAAATAAATTAAATTTATTATATATAACAAAAAAAGTTGTGCCATATCAGTACTAATTACATATGTTATTTCCTATTAATATTATATATTACATTTTCTGCTGTTAATATTTTTAATTTCACTCTACACGTTTTTTTTTTTTTTTTTTTTGAATGTTCCTAATATTTATTTTATCACTATATTGATAATATTGTTTAAGTGATTTCCTCTTTAGATTAATATTATCATTAATCTTAATTTTTTTTGTTAAATTTAATTGTTATTTATTATTAACTTTTTAGTTCGATACCTATTGTCGCTTTCAATATAATTTTATATATACTTTTGTATATAATATTTATATCTACCAATGTTTTTTTGTCGATTATTATACACTTAAAGAGATACTATATCGTAACTTATATATTTATATGTTACTCATGTAGTACTTTTTTTTTAATTAAATATTAATGGTATCTATTTTCAAATGAAATTTTCCTTAAACCAAACAGTTACCACTTATATGATGTATAACAAAGCCTATATAAGAAAAATATAAATACAATAGTAAAGTAAAACTACACACGTGTAATACAAACATAATTATGTGCATATAGTATTTTAAAATATTCTGTATTATATTATTTTTTTTTAAATTTATTTTTATTTCATTTTTTATTTTTTAGTTTATGTATTCAATTTCAATATCACTCATAATATTACAACAGTATTATAATTGTTTACTTTTTTTTTTCTGTGATAATGTAAATAATTTGATTTCATTAGTCAGTCTTACATTACAGATTTCCGTGCATTTCCTTAATTCACGATATCAAAATAACATTTGAGAAATCGATTTTAAGTGTTCCTTGTTTTTACGCACAAACTATAATGTTATATAGAGGAGATATTCATAGATTTTACTTATTTATCTAGGGAGACTAAAACGGTTTCTCAAAAATAATCAAAAATCACACAGCCGTCCATATAATTTATGTTTTACAATACTTAAATAATATATTACGACACTCGAGGGTGATGCGTTTAAACCGTACTAGTTTAAAAATATACTACATATTATAATAATTTTAAATAATAAGTTGAAAAATAAACACTAATCATTTAAATGTTTTGAACTTATTAATAGTGCAAACAAACTACCTATTTAAAAAAATACCTATTATTTCTAGTCAAAGTATATATTGATATTATATTATATTATATTATATATGTATATTATGTTTAAGCCGTAGTTAAAGTAGGATGTATAAAAAAAAATTATATATGTTGTTTGTCTTCTATTTGGGATGTATAAGCTTTTAGAATTACATTTTTACTTGTGTTTCATTCGTTTTGTGTATTAAGTACTTAGCGATAGGCTAATGCGCAAACACGTCGTATGCAACACAATGAGACTGTTTTTTGTGTAGAGTTATTATAATTTTATAGTGTTTTCTTGCCTTTATTTTAATATTATTATTTTAATTTTAAGTATAGATACGTATAGTTTGTTGCTTCGTAGAGTATTTATTTGAGATCCGATTATCTGTTTTTTTACAATTTTGTTTTGTATATTTTTGTCATTTTTTTTTCAACCAATAATAATTCATCCCTTACACAATTCGGCGAAGAAAAAATGTTTCTACCTTCATATTTCGAGTTGTGATCTGTAAAACTTAACTAATGATTTCATCAAAATGATCATTTTTATTAGATTGTAATGTAGAAGTAGTATTTGACACTACAATTTAAGCATTGTTATGTTAATGTAAGCAGATATTAATTTTAAATATACAATTTATTAAACTTAAAACAGTTTTATTTATTTGCTGATAAAACGGAAAACCTTAACGTGTTGTGTTATGAGTATCGGTATAGAAAATATTATTATGAACATGGGCAATATTAGGTTTTAAATAATTGTTATGATGATGTTACAATAAGATTGATTTTACTATTACACTGTATCAATGCACTATAATTATATTCATAAGTTGTATTTTAATAAAATATTGTTGACTGTTTGATAAAGAACAATGGATTCGCTATATACACTAAATATACTGTTTTTGTACATTTTCCTCCAATATTATAAATGTTATATACTTAATAGGTACATAATATTATTATTATTATGTTTGATCGTCATAAAGTCATTAAACCAATAATGTTTGAAATGCAAATGTATCAACATCAATGTTTGTAAAATGTTATTGTCCTTAATCTGTGTGGAATATGGTCGTTTAATATACAATACTTTAATGTATAAATGTATAATGTTGTTTTAGAAAATGTAACCAAAGCAACTTTTAACAAAATACTTATTTTTTACATTTAATCTGTTTATCCTTGTCCTCGAGTTCAAATGAGGAGTTGTAAATAATACAAGTATAATATAAAAGTCCTTTTTTTATTTCTCCATGTTGAAATTTAAAAAATTCTTCCAATAAGATTTGTTCATGAACTGTATTTATTCATATACATACAAACACAAGTAAAGCTTATGTAATCATTTTATTCTTTGAATTCTTTTGAACTTTTGTCGATAAGATATTTATACGCCACACCAATAATCTATTTGTCAGCCATGATTCCATCTGGTGTTGTTTTAATATGACGAACAATATCTCGACGCACGAAAGTACATGATGTTGATATGTAACCAAATTCCTATTATTTATATGCATTTACTACATTGATCAGAGACTATTTGAACACCTGTCTAGATTAAATACAAAAAAAAAAAAAAATCATTCTCGTTTAGCTCGATTTACTATACAGCTCTGTTCGGATGTTCAAACGTTCGCAGTATAAAAAATTAACTTGTATAGCAAATTTTGATTTATTAAACCTAAAGTTGTCTGAAAAAAATGCCTCGAACGGTTAATATGGTTGAATCCTATTCTTAACGTGCCACTTGATTGCTTGTATCCAGAGCCATGTACTATAATATTTATACTTTAACGATATTTGCAAAAAAAATAATTCCATGAAATACAATAAATTTAAGCAATTGTTATGTACGTCTCTGGCGATGAAACATTACTGCCAAACGAAATGTTTGCCGTGTGACTATAACGACGAATCGACCGTTTTTTATTCATTTTACGGTATCGTCAGGTGTATTCGTAACGGAACAATAATAAACGCAAAGAAAATAATAAAATCAAACGATATTGTGAACTAGGCAGGATCGGCTCAAGCAAAAACAGTGCACTAGGCAAAATCAAATTTTGCCACCTCTAAAAAAAAAAAAATTGAGCTCTTATTTTAACTTAGCTCCTCCCCCTATTTTTTGTGTGACATATCTACAGAATAAAAAAATTAAATTTTTTATTTTATGTATAAAATTATACGTAAAAATACTTAATATAAAGTAATATAATAAACTTTAGACGATATTATTTTATTACAATACAGGTAAATGGTTTTCGCGAACGAATGAATTTAAATAGTTTTCTTACAAAACACCGATAGAACAAAATAAAAAAAAAAAAAGATACGAGTCAATTCTGAAAATGCCACTGCTACCAAAGTGCCGCTCTAGGCAGGTGCTTAGCTCACTTATACCTCGAGCTAGCCCTAATATCTGTCCAGCAGAAATTTCCATAGAATATAAGAGTATCAGGTATAACTTTAGGAACCTTAAAAAACAAGTTTAAAGTATATCGGATCAATATGAAAGAAATCAGTTCAAAATTACACATTCATTAGTCAAATATAATCTAACAAATGAGTTATGTTTGAAAAGCTTTCCATTATGGTAGAAATAAGTTGAGCAACCTATTTAATTATGGTGTATTCTTATGTGTGATTTATTTTTAAATAATTGACGTCCAAAATTTGGAGTTTGTGCCGAAAAAAAATCAAAAATGAAAGTATCCATACCGTATTGACGTTCGTTGAACACGTTGTTCTTAAACCTAAGGTGAAAACGTATAACTTCGAGTCAACAGTCCTTTGGATTTTTTATGATAATAATCAGTGAGAAAAATATGTCTATAATGATAACAGTGTCAATATCACGGCCATAGAGATCTATTTTATATGACCGTGGTTGATATTAGAGCTCTTAAAACACGTGTCACGGAATTCACGTGTACACGTGAAATACATGTTTATCCAAAATATATATTCATTTTTACAATGGTAAAATTAGTAATATTATGTTATACGCTTGAAGTTTTAATAAAATATTAATAGTACAGTATTAAGTTAAGGATATACGTTTTTATTTTGGATTTTACACGTGACACGTGACACGTGAATTCCGTGAATTCACGTGTATTAAGAGCTCTAGTTGATATACATGGCTGTTAAAACTAATTGAGCACTAAAATTTAGTGCTATTACGGATTTTGGTGCTGAGAGTGCACCCGCTACGTGAAGTTAGCGGAGAAAGGAAAGCTCCCTTGTAACTTTTAACTATGTATAGCACTAATTTCGAAAACGGTAGGATTGAATAGCACTAATTGAGCACAAAATAATGGTGCCATAGCGGAAATTAGTGCTCGAATTTTTCCGCTAACTTTACGCACCTCCGACTGCCGGAGTCTCCAAATGGACGTTTAACGCGTGAGCAACAATAAAAAAACAATCGTAACGTTACGTTAAAGTTTAACAGTTGAACACTATCAACGGTGCACCGGAGATGTACTCGTGTGCCGTACGTTTAGTATTCGTTAGCGAACGGGACTTATACGTTATACGTTATAACGTTATACGTTCATGAAACGGACATGAACGATGAGCGATTGCAGTTGATTACCTTCTGTTTAATATGCGGATGGCCACGGTTCCTGGTCTGGTTAACAGAGGATCAAGGTGCGTACGGTCGAGGTTCTATTTACGCCACGACACCTTTCGATCTCCGTTGGATTTTTCTTAACGTATCATCTCGCTCGTACTTTTCCCGCTTTAGCCCGTCGGGGTTTCGCGCATCACGGTTGCTGCACAGGGGGCCTATTCTCAAACGCATCGAAAGTGATGATCGAATAGAATAGTTCGATTGACACTATTCGATCATA